TTTTATTGTGATTCAGAATCACAATAAAACATTTAAAATAGCCTTGTCGTAAATTCCAAAAATGATTGATTAGATTGCAAATACTGTGGGAGCTAATATTCATATACAGAACCTTACCAAATTTAAATAAAAGCTCTTGAGTAAAGTCTTAAGAAATACGTGTCGAAAAAAGGTTAATCACGAGTTTATAGTCCAATTTTGCTCTACTAATCTACTATGTGACTTTAAAAAATTTAGCATTAGTTACATCAAACAAAAAGGGTATAATATATAAGATCCCAAGAGAGGCAGTGCTGTATGGATAAGTTCTCGCCTGAGTCCCTTTTTTATACTAATTAATAAAAGTATTTTATGTTAACAATATAAGATAACATCTTTAAATAAATGTGATTATTTTACTATAGGGAAATATGCTTAATTTTTTTTATTGTCTGCACCATCGTAACATTATATATATATTATATATCGAGAGAGAACAATTCAGATTGCAGTGAAAAATCATATTTCATATAAGTCATATGTTTAAAATTAGATCGCAGAATGTATATTTTCATGGCTAAATACAAAATTTTAACGAAATCGCTCACATAGTTCTTGAGAAATTTAATTTTAAATATAATTTTTTTTCCAAATTCAGGTTGCTCACACTCAGGAACTATTTAACCAATTTCTCTCAAATTTCGTATTTTGCTACGCAAAATTTTATACCTCACCATTCAAAATTTTTTCGACTATTATTAAATAAAATACTAATAACCCATAATATAAAACTACTAAAAAAAACAAAAAAATAATAAATATTTACTTAAATTTATTCTTTGCATGGATTTATTTTCACATAAACACATTTTAGAATAGTGCGCAAAATTTTTTCATTTAGCTTAAAAAGTTCTCGATACATGACAAAATGTCCAAAAAGTAAAATTAGCATTAAGGGGTCGAAACTTTTGATAGCTCACCTGATCAAATTAGGGGGACCATATTTTCCAAATTGAGGCTACTTCCTATTTTTGGCTTCAGAAATTCGAATTCATTCAAAAAAGGGTATGTTTATTCGGAGAAAGTACGTTTTTATGTTTGATTTCGTAGCTTAAAATATCGTCTTCAAAAATTATATAGCATATTTGAAGTCACCCCCTCGAACCTTTAAGACAGAGTCTTAGAGCGTGAAAATCCGATTATAAAAATTAAAAGTTATTCAGGATGCTCAGTTTACTTTTTTACGCACTGTATACATAACCTAGCTAAACTTCAGAATAATTAGGAAGATCCTCTAAAGTTCAGAATCGAGTTTTTTCCACAATTTAGTGTGAACATAAACTGTGTCTGTACCGTTAAAGTTTGAAAGTTTCTTTCTCTCATTCTATGAACAAATTTGTTGATTGTTTTATTTTTTATTTTATAACCGTCGTTGAACAGTCGGCCCAATTTTATGGGTTTACGACTACTAATGTTCAGCTCCGTAGCCTTCTAATTTTGAACCAAATCCAAGGACAAGGGGACTCCTGCATCAAATAGTGGGAGAAATATGCCTTCGTGGAGGACTTTTTGATGGAGCTAACCCGTATTTGCCGTATATGGAAAGGAAGATCACGAGAACCTCCCACGGTTAACCTAACGGCAAGGGAACTCTAACCCATGATCCGTCTACCACTGAGGATATTTCACATCAGTACTGTGGTTAGTGAAAGCCGGATGCGAATTTCGTATCGGCTGTGATTCGAACCCCGGTTCGTCTCATTGGAAGACGAGAGCTCTATCCCCTGAGCCATCACGGGTCTTGTTGATTGTTTGTATTGACTTGATCTTTTAGATACCGATCCCGCAGTGAACTGATCTTAAAGACACGATTCCCAGCCGAACACCGACGTCAAGCATCACTGGCTGTGGTTGATAAGCGGGTGGGTGACCACTTTGATCAGCCTGCGCAGGTACCTATGGTGAGCGGTATCGGTCCTCGCTAAACAGTTCTACCGTAATGTCGTTAGAACTGTTTCTAAGTCGTTAAGCTACCAATGCAGAGGAGCCATTCCCTCTGCAGAGAATCAAAATTGTGATGGCATGTCTTCGGATTATCCTCAGGGATGTTTCTCAAACCGTCGCGTCGCCAATAGCCCATTGTGCAGCTCTAGTGCGTCGTAAATAAAATATCCACTTACCTTTAGATACCGAAAAACAAATAATGACCTCAGTAATAATGGATTTTGCTTTATGTTCAGAATGAAAAGAAATATAAAAAATCTTACTATGCGTGAAAAATTTGTTATTTTTTTATGCAATTTAAGAAAAATAACTAAAAAAAATTTTATAAGCTTCAACAAATCTTTTTCTGCTACTTTTACAGAGCGATTATGTATGTCCAAATATAATTGAATTTACCGTTATTGGTAAAAAATTTTATATGCAAGGAAAAAATTATAAAAATTAAGAAATTCAAGTAACTTTTCGGCCAGTTTTGTGACATAATAAATATCTTATTATTTAAATCAGGAGGTTTTTTTTTCATGACCAGAATGAGAAAAAAATATATCGAATCTCAGAATGCGTGAATAATTAGTTATTTTCTTATACAATAAAAATAAAACAAAATTGTTAAGTTCAATTAATTCAATTAATAAGGAAATATATTTTATTGCATTTGCAAGTTTCTAAGCTACATATTTGTAAGTAAAAATCACATTTTCTGACATAAATTCTATCAGGATTCAGGAATTACTACATCCTAATCGGGGCACAGTTGAAATATATCTTTATTCTTTTGTGGATCTATCGAGCGAATGATGAGTAATGTTCATTTTCATGAAATGATAACGCTAACAGAAAACTATCTCATTCATTTCGTTTATCCTTTACATTTGCTCGTTAAAATTTTTCTTACTGTTCTTTCATTATTTTCTTAAAAACAAACAGTATGTGTGGTGTAAGTATGTATTAAGAAAAATGATTATCACGCAATAAAAAGCAACAAATTTTTTTTTCATTAAACCGGTTTTAACCTAGTTCATTAAAAAGTGAAGAAGACACACACGTAATTAAGGAAGAGTGCGAGAACTGTGATGAGGAAAATCTTCTGGGCGTCTTCACAAATCTTTAATGAGTGAGTTGATTTTAATAACATTTGAGTTGAAAATAAATAAAATGTATATGAATGAAACATAAATAAGATATTAGACTGAGCTATAAGTAACTACCGTTAGAAATTACTACCATTTAATAACGAACATTAGAAGTTAGAATGCTAATAGTAATTAATACTCTGAAAATAGGTAAATTAGTAAAGCAAATATTTTAGTTTAAAATCTGGAAAGGATGTTTTTTCTCTTCATTTAATAAAAAACTTTTACTTTTAGTGATATTAAATTCAGATATTGTGCAGCACTATTTTCTGGACTATATGCGAATTTTAATATCGCGGGTATATCGTTGAAATTAACGATATTTTTACGATATGCGGCAATATTTATATGATTTAACTGATTACGTTATTTTTGCGCTAGTAAAATACCCGTTTTTTCGATAGGTTCAATATATTTTTACGTTTATTGTCTTTGCTATTTTCTCTATGAAACTTGGAACCTCTTTCGCCTAGAAAATGTAAAATTGCCATAGTTTGAGTGTCTTAAACTCGATATAAAACTTTAATTTTAAGCTACCTAAAACTATTTTGATCAATAAAATTGTCTAGTATTAAAATAGCTTCCAAAATTTAACCCTCTTTCGTTGTTTTCAGTTTACTGGTTGGAATTAATCTTTGTTAGATGAGCATAATATGAGGGATAATTATGAAAAAAGCATTTATCTTTTTACGAAGAATAAAACGCTATGATACTTTAACACAATTTTAAAAATATTGTTTTGAATTATATATGTCTTCAAAGCTTATTGACTAAAGTAGACAGTATTGGTCAACAAGGGACGTAGATATCGATCTTGATTGGCTTTTGAAACGTGGCATTTGTTTATGCTAGCAACTGTAATTTCCATTCTATTTCAATTTATCCTAGTCCGACAAATATGAATTCGATATTCTATCTCGTAATCGATTATCGTACCCTACGATAATCACATTACTAATGAATACTTTTAAATTAATGAAATATAGAATTAATGCTTAGCAAAACAAAGGAAATGAGTTATTAATTTTCCTTTATTAACGATAAAAAGTCTACTGTAAAACAAGGTTTTTACGTTAACACGCCATACTTTTTTTTAACAACCAGTTTGCGCTGAGGTTATAGTTAGGTGGTTGTGTATCAGCGGTCTTCTTCTTCTCTAGTAGTTTCCCACTCCATGATGTAAGTATTTGCTGTGGTTGTTGAGTGGATGTGGTTGACTGGAACGTTAAAAAAAAACTTTGGTGGTGACATCTCCAAATTTGGCAAGATTTTTTTTAAAAATCAAAATGACAATCATTAAAATGAAGTATTAATTTCACTTTTTATGTGTCAGACCAATACAGCGTTGGAGAAAACTTTCAAACATGCAAAAATTATATCACAAACACTTTTCATTTTTACAAAACTGTTGCTTTTCTTTTTATTGACATTTTTGCTCCTTTTTCATTATTAGCAAAGAGGGCGCTGATTCAAGATAGACAGCGTTTAACTTAATGTTCAAGAATATCCTTAGTAGTTACAAACTAGCAAAGTTGTTAAAATAACATATCGCTCTCAAAAAAACGGTTATTTAATAGACAAAAGCTTTCTACGAACAACCTGAAGTCAATTGACTAATTAATTAATGCTCTATTAATTAATTAATTGATGATAATTTGAATAATTAATAAAGGCAGTTTCACTATTCAGCCATTTGGATGTTTCTTGTCATGTGGCGTCATCTCTCCAAAGACGATTTAACTATTTTCTTTCACGGAAGATTGTTATACTGCTGCTTACCTTAGGATGGAACATATTATTTGGAGTTTTGCTGTCATCTCTTGATATTATATTTTTTGAAATATTTCACTATTGTTTAAGAAACCTAACAAAGTTCTTTTTCAGTAGGGAAGCGGTGAAATGTCCGATTTGGTGTACAGTGTTCGGGTGATGCAGAGGGAAGATGTCCCGGAGGCTCTGGATGTGTGGAGAGAAACACAACTCCAAGAAGGTACTCAGTGCCTCTATACATGGATGGGAGTGGACCCAGAGGCTTTTCAAGTGGCTGTCACAGAATCAGGTGTGATTCAAATTTATTCTTGAGACTGGTGCAACAAACGAGACAAAAGTATGCATGCAAAGTATTTTCAAATCTGATACATAAAGCGCGGTGGCTCAAAGGAGCATTGACGGTTGAATCGCATCGAATCCCATTGATGGTTGATCGATTCAAATCCAGTCGAATCCAAATCGATGGATTCAAATCCTGCTCCCNTGAGATGTCCGATTTGGTGTACAGTGTTCGGGTGATGCAGAGAGAAGATGTCCCGGAGGCTCTGGATGTGTGGAGAGAAACACAACTCCAAGAAGGTACTCAGTGCCTCTATACATGGATGGGAGTGGACCCAGAGGCTTTTCAAGTGGCTGTCACAGAATCAGGTGCGATTCCAATTTATTCTTGAAACTGGTGCAACAAACGAGACAAAAGTATGCATGCAAAGTATTTTCAAATCTGATGCATAAAGCGCGGTGGCTCAAAGGAGCATTGACGGTTGAATCCCATTGATGGTTGATCGATTCAAATCCTGTCGAATCCAAATCGATGGATTCAAATCCTGCTCCCGTACCACAAGAAACGCGGTGCTAATGCTAAATATCCTTAGTGGTAAACGGCTCATAGGTTAGAATCCTCTTATCAGGTTAACCACAGGAAGATTTCGTGGTTTTCCTGTCTAAATTTTGCAAATGCAGTCTAATTTGTTCAAGTAAGCTAATTTAACTAAATGTTTGATATATTTTATTTCATAACCGGCGTTGAACAGCCGACCCAGCTTTTTTTTTGGGTTTACGACTATTAATGTTCAAACGAACCTTGTAATTTTGAACCCAATCCAGAAGACAAGGGAACTCTTGGATCAAGTATTGGGAGAAAGTTTGCCTCTGTGAAAGACTTTTTGAGGGAACTAATCCGCATTTGCGCTACATGGAAAGGAAAACCACGAAAACGTCCCACGTTTACCCTGACGGCTTGGCCTCGCCGGTCACCGGTGATCCCCATGGCATTCAAAGTGTTAATATTAAGTATCAGTAAATTTCTTATTTCTAAATCAAACACGGTGTTACATATTTTATGAAAACCAACACAGAATATACTTGAGTAATTTGTCATTAATTTTTAAAATATAAAGAAACTTAACAATCGTATTTTCTATACGAAATTACTTTTCGAATTTGGCATATTTGATGGTTTATATCGCAAAATAAATTGTAAAACGAAAAGTGTTTAGATTTATTTCACTTTTATTATTCAAAACGAATAATATTAATAGAAGTTATAGAACAAGAATACAAGCAAACGACTCTTGACGAAAATCTTATTTTCAATCTTAAAATTCTATTGAAAATTAAAACAAGACAAATTAAAGCAATGTTTTAGGATTAGTCCATAAAAACTGAAATTTCCTACACTTTAAAAGGTTGCTGACAGAATTGTTGTTTTTTCTACAATTTAAGAGACAACCGCATTAAAGCGCAATAATAGCTTTCCTATTGTCCGAAATATCATTTTCCAATAACCTCATTGATCAAAATGACAAATCTATTCTATCGATTTTTCTTCCCTCCCCTCCCCCTCCTGAATTCACAATGCTTGCTTTCATGATGCTAATAAAGGAAAAAAGTTTTCCCTCAGCAGAATTTCGAGCACTTAACTTAGATAGTAGTCAAAGATCGCTGCTAAAAACCTTAAAAAGGAGACATTTTTATTTTCAATTCTAGAATTTTAACCAACCAAACTCACTCACGCAAGACATTAAATGTTGCCTTACGTGTAGACTCGTGCCTTTCGTGACATAAAATGCTGCCAACAGAAGAAGAAAAAACGGCAAAATGACAGCTGATATGACACTTGTTAAAAATGTTACTCTACGTAAACGAATAACGCATTTTTATTGTTGTTCTGTACTTCTTGACACTTTCTAAACATTTTACTCTGCGTAAAAGGATAACGCGTTTTTATTGTTGCCCTCTATTTTAAGCATTGTCATGCCATTTCTCGATCATGTACTTAGGTAGGCTGCGTTACTTAGGAGAATTGGTACTTAACAGGCTTGGGTTACTAGAAAAAACAGTTGCTAAAGTAAACAAATGTCACGTTTCAACAACCAATCAGGATCGAGAAACCCAGACTACGTCACTTGCAGGTATCCCATTTGATTTATGCGTAAGCCAGAAAGTAATAAATTAAAAGCGACTGCAGAATTNATGACACTTTCCAAAAATGTTACTCTATGTAAAAGAATAACGCGTTTTTATTGTTGTTCTGTACTTCTTGACACTTTCTAAACATTTTACTCTGCGTAAAAGGATAACGCGTTTTTGTTGTTGCCCTCTATTTTAAGCATTGTCATGCCATTTCTCGGTCATGTACTTAGGTAGGCTGCGTTACTTAAGAGAATTGGTACTTAACAGGCTTGGCTTACTAGAAAAAACAGTTGCTAAAGTAAGCAAATGTCACGTTTCAACAACCAATCAGGATCGAGAAAACCCGCCACACTACGTCACTTGCAGGTATCCCATTTGATTTATGCGTAAGCCAGAAATTAATAGATTAAAAGTGATTGCAGAATTACGAATTCAACGGCCTAACATGAAACGTAATTTTAATATTGATGAAACAATAAAAAAAAATCTTTCTTCAAGCTGAGTTTTTCTAAATCAATTTAAAGTTGTTTTTATTATAATATTTGCACCTGTTAATTAAATTTTTTTTAACATTAAGCATTCTGCCAAACGAAGTTCGCTCATTAAGGTTCCGCAGCAATCATGCTTATAATGAGATTATTTAATTAGTGCCGATAGAGGCGCTCGCCTTCCAATGAGGTGAACCGGGTTCGAATCCCGGCGATGACTGGTCGATAGAAATCCACATCCAGCTTGCACTAACAACAATGCTGATGTGAAATATCCTCAGAGGTAGACGGATCATAGGTTAGAGTCCCTTTGCCGCCAGGCTAACCGCGAGAGGTTCTCGTGGTTTTCCTCTCCATGCAACGCAAATGCTGGTTAATTCCATCAAAAAAGTCCTCCACGAAGGCAAATTTCTCCCAAGACTTGATCCAGGAGGTCACTTGTCTTCTGCATTGGGTTTAAAATGACAAGGCTACGGAGTTGAACATTAGTATTCGTAAACACAAAAAAATATTTCGGATTTCATCAATGGTTATAAATATAAAACAAATACAGTTGAAGTATTTGGTAAGCATCTAATAGGGGGTTTGCGATTTGCTTTTGCTTTCTAGGGGGAAAGAGGGGAATAAGCAAGGGTTCGCGAAAGTTCATATTCCAGCTGTGGCAGGTTGATACGAATTCTGCTCCTGTTTCGCACCGACCTCAGTGCTGACGTAAAATATGCATAGAGGTAGACGAATCCCACGCCGCCGGGCTAACCGTGAGAGGTTTCCGTGGTTTTTCCCTTCATGTTCTAATGAACTCTTGGAATTGCGTGATGTTAAAAAAAAGATTTAATTAGTGCCTCAGAAACATACAATATCTGTTTAAGAAAATTGAACCATATTGTACAAGGCACAAAGCTGTTACAAATATGAAGAATGAAATAAGAATAAAAATGAAATAGAAGAGCATTTAAAAATACAAGCTTTTGTCGAAAAAGTAAAAAAAAAACATCCTTGTAACCCAACAGACACACATTTAATTATCTTTAAATAAAAAAATTCTGAATTTAATTAATAGCTGACGTATTTATAAAATTTTTGTAACAAACTTTCAATCTTACAATCCGCATCACAGTAGAAAAAAAAAGAGTAATTTTTTTTAAGTACATGCCACTGAAGAAAAGAAATATCTTTCTAGCATCATAACTTTGGAAAAAGACTTCTATTAAAAAAAAAAAAAAAAAAAGGAAAAAAATATATTATTCGAAATTCGTTGACTTTCATTTAAAATACTTAAATTACAAGATCCTTCAACTTTTTCGATGTTACAGAACCCAAACATTTATTCAAAATGCAATTTCGCAGGAATAACTTAATGAGATAACCATAATAAATAAATCACTTAAAAGTCTCATTATTTTTCGAGACCCATAATGCATCATTCTTGATGAATGAAGACAATTAAATACAACCTCAGGACGAGATTACTCTCGTTCATTAAATTTCATTCACTTTATTACATTATAGAATGACATCGGAGTGTCCCGGATGTTCTCCCTCAAAGGCAATAAATGAAGTGATTAAAGTAATTACCGAGTCGTTAAGGAACGACAAAAATGGGAACCCACGGGAAAATTAAAGTTGACAAAAATGTCTGCTGAAATTTATCTCAAAAAAGTTACAGTTCCGGTTTTTTATTATTTTTTTTTTCAGAATGACAATTATTTGATTTTTTATGTGTATTATGTGCACTTTGATTAAAAAATAATAATTAAAAATCAAAAGAAATAATTTGAACGAGATGAGGAATATAAATTCAATATTCAATTATTTCCTTCTACGCTTTTAAAATTTTAATTTAAGTAAATTTCAATTTGTTTTTCACCCGCAAATAAATATTTTCCAACAATAAATAAAAGAATTGAAGAACAAGAAATAGAAAAAAATACTAATGTATTAGTTACATTCTATTAAAACTCTTCATTTCCCAGCATGAGATAAATTTTATTTTATAATCATCGTTAAGCAGCTGACCCAATTTTTGGGTTCACGACTACTAATGTTCAACTCCGTAGCCCTGTCAATTTGAACCCAATCCAGAAGACAAGGGAACTCCTATATCAGGTATTGAGAGAAATTCGCGTGGAGGACTTTTGATGGAAGTAACTCGCATTTGCGTTACAAGGAGAGGAAGATCACGAGAACCTCCCACAGTTAGTCTTACGGTAAGGGGACTCTAACCCATGATCCTTCCACCACTGAGGATATTTCCCGTCAGCACTGTGGTTGGTGCAAGCCTGATGCGGAATTCGCATCGAACAACCATCGCTGCGATTCGAACCCGAGTCACCTCATTGGAAGGCGAACGCTCTATGCCCTGAGCTCAGGAAAAGATAAACGTACAACT